ACTGTTGTCTTTTCATGATATGGTATTACCCACACTCAGTATCACCGTTAAGTTTTTGTCCCTCACACTTGACTTTTTGCACCCCACCAGTTACAACATCTCCTTAGAACTCTAGAAGGTTCAGTGACGAAGTCAGTGGCAAATAAAAAGTGGATTAATTTTCAACGAATTCAGTGAATTCGACCATAAATCAAACAGTTGGATATCCAGTTATATTTTGTTTTACAAGTAACACTTGTATTTGAGGACAAAAGCCACTTGTAAGGATTAATAAGTTAAATTTGTGCAAGAATAATAAACAATTGGTAGCAATGGGAACCCTTTATTCTCACTTTTGGAATTTATAACACACTTATATAATGTAGCAAACATTTAGTTAGATAAATTGTTCGATTTAGAAATTCAGAGGCGTAATCTGTTTTACTTGGGTGGGAGACATTTATCCTGCAGTGTGAGAGCTTTCAACTATTGAGTACTTAATTATATTATTATTATTGTTCCCTTGGGTTCCAAGTGGAACATGCAGCTTCAACACCACATCACCACTTTCTTCCATTTTCTGATCTCCTCTTCAGCTGGCTGGGTCTATGATTGCTCATAATGCTTCATCTTCTCCTCCCCAACACACAGCCTCCTCCATATCACCCTAGCAATCACGACCCATTCGTCGCTCGTTTCCACTTCACCTTCCACTCGAGCAATGGCCTGCATTTAGCGCGATGTTATTCGATGATATCCTCAGTGGCGTATGCCCAATCCATCTCCATTTTCTCCTAAATATATCATGAACGATAGGTTCTTGGTTTGTCTTTCGCAAAGAGTTTCTTGTTGATAATTCCTTCTGATCAGCTGGTCATCCATCCGATCTTCAGTATGGAGCCAGAGAAGGAGACAGTTGTTGATAAAACTCTGTTGAAAATGCTTTTCGTGACTCATGTGCAGTGCAAGTTTCTCACCCATATAGAAGAACTAACTTCACATTTGTGTTGAATACAATCCAAATCTTGTTGTTTATGCTGGCTGGCTGGCTGAGTGAAGCAGAAGATTTCCAAACCGATTTCAGATTCATGGGAGTGTGTCTCATCTTTCTGATTCTCACCTTCTGCCTTTGACATTATCATCCAGGCTGTTGCCCGTGGTTGAAACAACGTCAGTCAAATTTGTTCCGTTGATAGTGAGTGGCTGGTGTTGTTTGTTGTCGCTGTTGTTCGGTTGGTTGGTTCTCTTCATCACCTCCCTCTTCTCTATGTTCACTTGGAGTCCTGTCATCGCTGCGCTGCTTCTTCTGCCAGTTCTTTGTTGGTTTTCGCTTGCCTAAAAGACTTCGATTTTGTGTGATATTAAACATAAATCATCAACACGCGAAATCTAGATCTTTTGTAGTCTTTTATTTGGTCGCAAGCTCTTTTCTCCTTTTCAAAACACGCTTATATTCACTTTAAAGGCAGGCTTCACTGAGGTTTTTCGTTGTTGATCACCTGGCTGACATGTGATAGGTATTGTCATATATTCAGCTGTTGAATGAGGTTGATAACAATTTGGGAAATTCACGCTATAATGTGGAAACAGTTTCCAGATTACTTCTCGGTCAACGCTGTCGAAGGCCTTTCCAAAGTTGATGAATTTGAGGTAGATAGTGAGAGTTGACTGCCATTCTATGCTTTGTTTTGTGATGATGGTGCGTAGAGTTGCACATGATTCACCTTTCCTGAATCCAACTTGTTCCGGTGAGCTGGTGGAGTTCCGCATCCAGTGCACCTTTCATTCTCTCCAGGTAAACACGACTAAGTATTCTACTTGGCGTGAACAAGAACATGATTCTGCGCCACTTATTGTTTGGGCACGTAGTTTGACAAGGAAGCTAACGTTTCTTCCAGTCAGTAGGTACCTTTCTCTCCTTCCAAACAATTTGAAATAAAAAGGTCAGCATATCCTCTTCAGTCTTTGGATCCGTTTTGAGTACTTCGAGGGAATTCCGTCTGGTGCTGCTGCCTTGCCGGCCAGTGTTCAGTAGCTTGATCGCATTTCTGCTTTTGTTGGTGGGCTGGTTTCCCCTGGCAGGCAGTTCTGTGCGTGCTGTTTATGGTATTTCTTGACGGTCGATTCAAGAGTCCTTTGAAGTGATCAATCCACTGTTTCACTTGTCTGTCTTCTTTGGTATTTAGGTTCCCTTGACCATCCTTTACAGATTTATTCTGCGTTGATCTTTCCCCGGATAGAGTTCTGGTTATCTGATATAATGTTCTAAGGTTTCTTTTACCTATGGTCTATTGTGCTTCAGTTGTCAGCCAGTGTGTCGTAGAATTGTCTTTTGTCTTTCCTGGCACTGATGTCAGTTCATAAAGAAAATTACACTAGTTACTAGTCACTGCAAAAAGTTATTTAGTTTTATAAAACTCATTATCACGTTTATGTTCACTAGTCTTTCGACAGGTCTCTAGAAATGTATTTCTCTGTTTTTCACTAATAGCGTTTACTGGTAACTGGATTCCACATGAATTCCTTGAAGTTATTCCCTAAATTAGTTAAAATGAAAAGAAATAAGCCACTTTTGCAACATTTCTCCAGGATTGGTGGATGGTGACTAGCAGTGGAATCCAGGATAAAGCACATTTCGTCCTATTTGAGACTCCTCACTGGATATACCTGCATTCCTCAGTGAGTGATGCTGTTCCCACCATCGAGGCTCGGACGCAGTGTCCATAGTCTCATAAGTCAAAGCGGTTTATCCACTAGACATCATCACTCACTGGGGAATGCAGGCACATCCAGTTGACGAGGCAGTCCCAAATAAGACGAAATGAGCTTTATCCTGGATTCCACTGCTAGTCACCATTCACCAAATTAACTTCTAATTATATGCCCAGACATCGTCGAAGCATCTGCACAAGGAGGAGCCGACATGTCAACCTGAGACCGAGCACTTAGGTCCAATAAACAATCAATCGACGAGGAAAATCTAAAATTGAATTAAATATTATGGATAGTGTCAAAGAGGTTTTACATTTTAGGCCGAATATTCTTGAGTTCCAAAGGCGACTGTGGACGACTTCATGCTCTCTATGTACAGAAATCGACTCGTGCCGGCTCAAATCGTGTTTTCAGATATACCGGGTAAAAATCGTTTATAAGGAATAGAATTTAACACAGTTGAGAAGACCCCCGCTCCAAGGCTTCTATTCAGAAAACATTTTCAATGTTTAGTGAATATAAATCAATTTTGTGTGTGCATGTGTGTGTGTTGGTTCTTATTGCTTCAGTCTACAGAACTGAACGGAATACTGACATCAGAATAAATATGACAAGAAAAGCAAACTATAATCTCTAGTGACTTGCTACAGGATGGAGTTTCCTGGAGTTAGTTCTAGTGAGAAGTCATGACCAGTGAAGTGCATCCAGTCGGGAGTGAGAATGGATTTCCCACCGGTGATATTGGTTGGTGCTAGTCGCGCTAAATGCATCACGAATTGGTAGAAGTTAGAATTCATGAACTGGCCATTTAGGAGTCAGGTCCCAGTGGCTGAATGGTCTACAAGCTAGCTTGCCTTGTAACCGGAAGGTCCTTGGGTTCGAACCCCGTCGGTGGTGTAGCTGCGTACTGCCGATGATTCCAGTACTGTCCAGTACTCCAGCGTTGGTTTTCAATGGTTGTCTAATTGATATCAATCCGTCGTCTAACTCGAAAAGTTATAATCAGACTTTTAATTCTTTCATAATTAAAAATTACCACTGAATATTCTTGCTGTTTAGTGTAATAGAGATCTCAACCTGTGCGTTGGTGGCACAGCGGTAAAATGCTCGCCAACCACGCCACATGTGGTTCGAGGTTCGATCCCCGGCCACTGGATGCACTCCTTTACCTCTCTAAGCCAGTGGTAAGACTGGTAAAGAGGGGAAGTTGGGCATGAGGCTAGCAACCGCATCCTGTAAAAATAAACATCCACTGCTACCGAAACTTCAAACCTCTAGCTTGAAGCCCTATGTTCCATTGGGAACGTAAACGATTAAAAAATTACCTAACTTTTCATTATTATAGAAGTTTTTTTTGTATTTCCCAATGAACGAAGAACAAAACGATATCGTTGTTGTGTTTTACTGACGTCTCGCTATTTAACACTGCTGCTAATAGCTTTATCAAAGTAGTATTATTAAACCAGAACATAATCATCGTTCATCAGCATGAGGTAAATTTTACGTTGTTGTCAAGTTGGCCAATTAGTAAAGATAACAAAACCAGGTGTAGATTTTTGGATTCGCTAAGTGTATAAAATTATAAAAGCAACATGTATGTTTACATAATGAAATTGCTTCTCACATTCGTGTTGATTTTGCCATTTCATGGGAGTAGGTGGGTGGGGTGTTGTAACCAGGTCAAATTCTGTTTTAGTCCATCATTCCTATTCAGTTCAGACAATTTGGATTCCATTTGATGATGAAGTGCTTCTGATGAAGTGAGACGTTCTTTGTGATTTCTGAAATTTTTCTGGATTATTTCAATATTGTCAAAATCAATTTTGTGGCCTGATTCTATAGCGTCGCGTGTAGACGACGAGCTATGGCTGATGATGTTTGAAGCTTTTCTAGTTCACTAATTGGATTTCTTGGTGGTTGAACAGATGCTCTGGTGTGTTCATTTCTTCTGATTACCTTGTCTTCTCTTTAGGGCGGTTTGTTTGATGTTTAATACATCACATTCCAAGCATTTTATTTTGTAGACACAATTAAACTGAGAATCCTTAGGGATTTGATCTTTTACATGGACAAGGTTGCTTTGTAGTGTTTGTGTGTCCCCGATGTTTTGAAGAAAACTCTGATGTTGGGCTTATTGAGTACTTTTCTGATATCGTCTGACGTTTCTGATGGTCTATATGGAATGACAAATGTTGAGGCCCATGTCTCCGGAATACTTTTTTTTCTTCGACCATATTTTTAATGTCAGTGTTGATTTTGTTAATGAAGTTCTTAAGTTAACTTTTGCTAACTTTTGTTTGTTTTCCCAGTGAACATAGAAAAATCTGGCATTTACAATATACAAGCTGGCCTGATCATGGGGTACCAATTTATTCGACAGTATTTTTAATGTTTCTTCGACGTGTTGGTACAATTACTCCAGCTGACTGTGGACCAATTGTTGTTCACTGTTCCTCTGGTACAGGAAGAACTGGTATGTTATAAAAAACATTTTACTGGTTATAGGATTTCATCATGAACTGACATCGGTTAGAGAAACCAACTGGAAGTACTGGACAGCTGTTTCGTCAGCCTAGTTTGGGACTCTTCATCAGTACTCACCCACCGGGGTTCGAACATTTTACTCACTTACTACTTAATAGGCCTGATGTTACGTTTCTCACCAATGTGTTATCATGCTCAGCTTCACTGGTTGAACATGTAGACTGGTACCAATGCTAAAACATATTTGGATAAGTGGGAAAAATTATTCTTAAATTAGATAGAACGAACATATGAACATGAATTCAAATACAATCTAAATTTAAATTCATCCGGATTGTATTCACTTGAACAGCTTATTTACTCACTTGTTCTATAAAAGACTTCTATTTTATGTAAATTTGATTCTAAATACACCTATGATAGCTGTTTCATCCCAGTTTGGGACTCTTCAGCAGCAGTACACACTCATAAATCCACCAGACTTTGTACACAAGACCTCCAGGTAACAAGTCCAACCTATTGAAGATTCAGTAACCCGCGAATCGTAACTTCTGGACATTTACAACATAGCGCTTCCACCAACTGTTGTCACGAATGAGAATCCGCTTTACATGTCCAGTTGAGGATCTCACGGGCTATAGCTTCTCATTAAAACTTTAGGATACTCATCGTGCAGCCACTAATGAGCTGGATTTTGTAGGGATTTCGATTAATTTCAGTGTAGATCTTATCATGAATAACTGAAACCAAGAAGCATGAGACATCTGGACAGTTATGGGCGCGCATTGCTGCTCAAGAATCCCAAACCATGGCGAAAAAGATATCCAGTCCTCCTTGGCTTTTCAGTTATTAATTGACGTCTATCCGTAACGAAATCCACAATAAAATTTAGTGAAAATCCCTACACTCATTTGAAAAAAGAATTTTTTCAAGCTTTGGATAGCTAATTTATAAGACGATTGTAGCTAATATTCGTAAAGTTGATTCATTCACGTTCATTTCCTCATTTACCACCTGATTCTGCATAAGAAAAAGACGTAAACAGCGGAAAAAGTTTTCTTTTCGACGACTCATTTTCATAAGCTGCTGTACAGTAATCGTAATTATATTTAACGAAGAATTCATAAGACCAATCCGATACTGGTAAAATTTGTCCTCGAGAACGTATTGCGTAATGTAAGGTGTAGTCTAGAAGGGGTGACGTAATAAGTGTGAGAAAATGACTACTCAATATGGTTGTGTAGAGTAGACAGGAACTAGTGAAAAAACGACAAAGTGTTTTTATAAAATCTGCATGAAAACGCAATGTTATTAATAAACAGTAGTACAGTGATAATAAATGATAATAAATAGTTAACTTACATGATAAAAGGAAGCAAAATTATAGTGAGAAAGTTACTCTGGCCATGGTAGGGTGAGTGAGTATGTCTTTTGAATGCAGAGGTCCGGTTTCAGATCCCGAATAGCCAATTATTCAGCTATGTATAGATGGCGTATTCGAAGTCCCTTTGTATGATACTGAGGGACTCTGTGTAGCACTGTGAAGCATTCATGTAGGAGTGCTCGATGTCCAGAGTTGAAAAGGTGTTCGAGGATGGAGCTGCCAGTATTCTTCTTTTCTCCTCTGGCTGGCTAGCCAAGCTGGACAGTGTTCCAGAATACGTTTGTGGAGTTGATGTTGCGTACGGCTAATATACTTTGCTCCACACGAACAAGTCAACTGATAAATACACACTGAGGTGGCCACAAGCGGTATGTTGTCCTTAACGCTAGACTGGAGAATGTGATGCGTAAGGTGGCTGCTTGAAATGTCTTCCTCAGACATCTGGAAAGGCGGTTTCTAAGAGTTTCTGCTTCGATGTCACCTTTGAATTCCAGGTTCATGAAGAGAGTTTTCTTAGGAACAATTGTGATTTTTGGCGACGGAGGCTTTTCCTTCATGTTTTTGACGATGAATCTTGGTGGATACCCTTTCTCTAGTAGGGTTTCACATGTAATGAATTTAATTTATTGCCTATCGTGTCTTTGGAACAGATTTTTCTAATCCTTGAACATAATATACCTTTTTACTCCCCCCCCCCAACTTCCTTTAATTAGGTATCTACATAGCAATCAATATATTATTAGAACGTATGAAAAGTGAATCTGTTATTGATATATTCGGTCTGGTGAATCAACTACGCATGCAACGCAATTCTATGATTGAAACACAAGATGAGTACACGTTTATTTACACTGCACTACTTGAATCAATAACCGATGGCAACACCGAAGTATCCGCTCGTAATCTCTACATACACTTACAGCATTTATCTATGATACAGACAACAGTTACAAATGATTATCCTATGAATCCTACGGGTCAACAACTGTCGTCATCATCTCCTCCAACGATATCAGTGAACAGTGTAAATGAGAATGTTAATAATACAGCTAATGTGACGGCGACAACAAATTCCTTAGGCTATACTGGATTCCAATTAGAATTTCGTAAAATCAACAAGCTATCACCAAATATTGCATTCGCATTGAATTGTGTTACACCAAAAACTGGTATCCTAGGATATTCATCGTCTGCGATTCATATACAAGATTGTAAATCGGTTGTTTCGTGTGAAGTAGCCAAGAGAAATGTGAGTTGTTTTTGTTTTTTTTTTTTTGTATAAAGAAGTTGTTTGTAAAACCATCTTCACCATATTAGTCGAATGATTTGCTTTGCTTCTCTGTACGCATGTTAATAGTATACCTACAAATGGCGAGTTTTCGGCAGATGGTTGGAGATAATCGTCGTGAAGCCTAGAAGCTAGGTTTCGTGCTTGCCGACAGTCGTCAGAAAGGCTTATCTCAAATCTTGAAGGAACACATATCCCTTCTGAGGCTTGAACCCGGATCACATAATGCTACAGTCAGAAACGTTAACACTGAGCAATTCTGACTCACGATTGATCTGCTGCAGGACTGTAATGGATGCTTTGATTGGAAACTAGACGGTGACTAATGTCATACCTATAGTCTTTGGTGCTGGTGGGTTCCAAGTGAAACACACGGCTTCAACAACATATCTCTACCTGCTTCTATTTTCTGCTGTCCTGTTCAACTGGGCTCACGATAACCTATAATCTCTCATCTCCTCCTCCTCCTCCTCCTCAACACATGATCTCCTCCATGTCACCCTCGCACTGACGACCAACTCGTCGCTCGTTTCCCATTCGGGTTCCACTCAAGTGATGGCCTGCATTGAGTGCGATGTCATTTGACGCCTTCCTCAACGTATTCCCAACGCATCTCCATTTTCTCCTGCATAAGTTTTCGGTTAGTCTGTTGTCAGATTTCCTTACTGCTAATTCTTTCTAGTTTGCCAGCCATCCATTTGTTCTTCATTTAAAGGCCATCGAAGGGGGCGGTTGTTGATAAAAGTCTGCATTGGCCTGTGGGAAATGCTTTTCATGACTCACGCGCAGTGAAATTTTCTCACCCATTTAGAAGAAGTCACTGACTGACTTAACGCAGAGATAAGGACGCTCTCCGACTACGTACATCATCGGGGTTTCTATCCTCGCCGACGCACACCTGATATCAATGGTCAGCCTGCTAAATTTGGGCTACCGATATTACATGCTTAAAATTCCCTAGTTGCATCAAAATACCGTGTGGAATCCAACTGTAATAAAAAAACAAACAAAAGGATTCGGATTTGCTGGCTGATTGAAGCAGAAGATTTCCTAACTGATTTCAGGTTGATGAAGGTGTATCTTACCCTTCCGATTCTCTCTGGCTTAGTCATCATCCGTCACACTGTATGTGGTTGAAATAATGCTGGCTGACCAGACAACTGAAGGAAATAACCCCTTTCAAGTTCCTTCCGTTGATAGTGACTGCTACTTCTTGTTGCTGTTGGTTGGTTGGTTATCTTCATCACCTCCGTCTCCTCTATGTTCACCTGGATAGAGAGAGAGTCCTGTCTTTGCTGCACTGCTTCTTCAACCAGATTGTTGATTTTCGCCTGCCTACAAGTCTTCAATTTTATCAGACATAAATCCTCCACACGCTAAATCCAGATCTTCTAGAGTCTTCTTATCGGTCAGTCCAGCATCTTCCTGTCTTTTCATTCCCAGTCCACCACAATTAGGAATATAACTGGTGATAATAGGCAACCTTGTCAAGTTAGTTAGTCACATTGACAGTGTTCAATTGAAGTATCCAATACAGTCCTACAGGAGGTCAGTCATGAGCTCGAATAGCCCGAATAGATCTGTGATTCGCCTTCCCGATGACTGCTGACAAGCACGAAATCTAGGTTCAAAGCTTTCTGAGAATTGCCCCCAACCATCTAACAACAGTTCAGAATGCACTGTGGTGGCGAACCATCTGGCATAGTAACTATATCGCGAACCTCACTGACGGAATTATATCTGCACCAAAAGAAGGGATAGATGCTTGACGTTAGCCGTTACCTAGTGTCCAATCAAAAAATATTTGCCTTAGTGGGTAGTTAGAATTCACGTGGTTTGAACATATTGGACTATAGAAACTGAGGCAAACCGGGTACACCGATGATGAGCTCTCTCTCTCGTAAAAGAGTTAAACGGTTGGTTAATGTTTAGATTACTCCTACACAGCTAGCTAGCAATACTGTGAGTGGTTTCCAAATAATCATTTGAATCAATAGAATATACCCTCTCTCTGTATTGGTTCCTGCTGGTATAAAGCGGTAGTTTAGTGGAGATATACAGTAGTATATCAGCAAGGCGTATCTGCAACCGCCTTGAAGGAGCTCATTTCCCTTCTGAGATTCCAACCCGGTGATCACCCAGTGCCACCAGCAGTCACAGAGAAACGTTACCACTGAGCTATTCAGGCTCGCAACTGACCCCCTGTAGGACTGTATTGGATACTTTGATTGGACACTATTCAGTGACTAGTGTGATGTGTCTAGTCCTTTGTCTTTGGTGCAGACTGAATTCTATCAGTCAGGTTTGCAATGTGGCCACCATTCGCCTTGCTGACTGACTGGTGAGTGCCAGCCAACTAGCCCGAAACCTAGGTGGTGGTGTCCAAGGCTTCCTGTGGCCGATTGCCTCCAACCATCTAATATCATCAAAACAGCAGAATTGTTTATTTGGCAAGTGATATATACGATGGTAGCGAAATACAGTGAAATTTCCATTCTCACAAGTTAGCTGTATTGTGCTCATCCTGTCTACCTTCTATACCTACCTTCTACACTGTTTCAAAAGGATATTTCATTACATCTCTTTGCGCAATTAATCCGTCACTCCGTTATCCAAGAATTGGCGGACTGCTTAAAATTTGGGCTACCATAGACTTCCATCAATATACATTGCATAGGATTTCTCTTATTCAGATTGTTTAAATTTAGGAAAATATTACCATCTCCAGTAGTACTGTTTACTCTGGCGGGTATTTAAAATATTCACAAATTTCTGGCAACTTATCCCAATACATGTGATGACCGTTCCTCAGTGGTGTCCCTCGTTCACAAAATGTACTCCTGAACTTTTTGTAATTGATATTCAGGAAGATTTTGTGTATTTCCCAAAGGAGAGTAAGGAGAGAGATCACAGGGGGGATTAGTTTGCGCTTCAGGTGAGATAGAACTATGTTACACGATCTACTGTCGGTCAATTAATCTTTTATGTTAAGATCCTTAATTATCATACAGTATATAAATAGTATTCGGAATAAAGCTATTATTTTAAAAAAATAGTAATAATAAAGACATCATCAACTATATACTACTTATAAATTCTTGTTAGTAGTATCTACCACAATAGATTTGTGAATGTTAAACTTTCTATCATTAGCTGAAATTAGAACTTAAAAGATCAGAACATCTTGTAAAATTTAAAACAATTAGTTCCCTTTATGAATTTAGACAAAGCAATAAGAAGACGTTTTAGAAGCTGACGGTATTGACGTTCACGGATAGAGTACGAAGTATACTAACGCAAGATCTAATACCCACAACTTCTATAGTATTCGTTCCGCGTGGACCAAAGATAAAGCAAATTACGAGATAAATTTCGGGACCAAATCGGAGTGCGAGATGATTGCTTAGCTGGCTAGTGATCGTGCACGAACGTGACACGAAGGAGTACCAAATGGTGTGGATGCTTGACCAGAAGCCTTCATCTAAACAAGTCGACTTAAACAGTGAGGGTCAGCATCCAATGTTCAGTGATGAGTGGTGTGGTCAATAATTTTGGGGAATTATTTACCGCTACAACGTAATTTGTCTGAATCGTGTATTGGGTATTTGCGCACAACACATTTCCAACAATCTGATCACACACACGGACTTGTCATAGGAAGATGTATATATATGAAATTAATAAAGAGTTAAGAGGTGAGAAAATAGACAAGTTAGGTCAAGTTAAAAGGATATATTGAAGGTCAAAATAACAATGAAGATCACTAAACCAAAGAGTGCAAGTAATAGTACATCTACCCTGGTTGGTATCAAAACAAAGTTTACCAAGGAAGGTGGTTTAAACTTTTTTAATTGCCAGCTTGGGCTTCCACAAACTTTAGGATACGCCCTCCCCCAAACACTTTTTATATATAGGTTTAAAAGATGTGTTAACGTCAATTTTATGTCCTGTCTCCTCTACAATATGTTTCGCAATAGAGGAGCTAGGTCGTCGTCTGTTCTCACCATTAATGGGTTCTGAAGATTCTATTTGCTTCTGAAGCCATTTAGGAATATGCTCTGAAGTCAGCCCTTACTTGCAGAGATCATCGATGAGTCCTCCCTTCTATGTATGTATGTGTGTGTCCACACGTACATTCAAATCGGTAAATACAACAGGGGGATATGACATCATTTTCCGCATGTTCAAAGGGCTTAGATAGACGGATGGATGGATATATTGGCTCCACATTCTCAATTATTACTATGATATTAGCTGCATAAAAAGTCTTTTTCCTAACAGCAGCCTTCAATCTTTGTAAACTGCCGTGTATAATAATAAATATTTCTAATCTCACATCAAATCTGTATGCAGTTGTCATGACTTTTATCAATCAATATCAGTATTCAGGGAAATCTACAAGTTATAATTAACAGGAACCATGTATCCACAGCTTGAAAGCATCTTGTTGATAAGACAAGACACTGTCAGCAGATACATCTGAATACGAGATTGTTTAAAAAGGGCATTTATTTTTTTTGAAAATACTAACTATGACATAATAGGCATGCTTAGACGGACCAAATAAATAAAGTTCATCTTGTCTAGACATAAAAATACAGGTCATTGATTTTATCTTGTCATATTTTATGTTTTATAAAGCCTTCAAAGGTCGAGGGGAACAAGGTTAACTCGTAAAGGCTTATTATTCGAAAGAAAAAAAGGCAATCTAGATTAGTACAAAAAGATTAACACAGCTGAGTTGGTAACAAGACTTCTTTTAGCGTCCTAGTGACTGAAAAAAGTCAGACATAATATGAACTTTTGTTAAAGTCTGTTGTCTGTCAGAGTGTTAGTTACTTCATTGTAGGATGGTTTAAACAAGGATTTAGACATGATTATTAGGATTTTAGCATATAATTCTTCTTCCTTAATAAATAAAAATATTTTTTATAGTTGGTTTGTAAGGATTAGTTTTGTTTTTACGAGTTGATCACGGATTGACATCAGTTAGAGAACCATTTAAAACCAGTACTGAAGTACTGGACAGTTGAATTTATCCTAGTTTTGGACTCATCGGCAGTGCACACCCACGGTAAGCTAGCCAGTAGACCATTCAGCTACTGGGACCCGATTCAGTGGCCATTTCATGAATTCTAGTTTCTACCAATTCGTGATGTATTTAGCGCCACTGGCACCAACCACTGTCATCGGTGGGAAATCCATCCTTACTCACGACTGGATGCACCTCACTGGTCATGACTTCTCACTAGAACTAACTCCAGGGAACTCCGTCCTGTAGCAAGTCACTAGCGAGCATCAAATTAATTTTCTATAGTTGGTTTGTAAGGATTAGTTTTGTTTTTTACGAGTTTTTGCGATCAATCCGCCATCAACTCGTAAACACAAAACTAATCCTTACAAATCAACTACAGAAAATAATTCTGATTCTCGCTAGTGACTTGCTACAGGATGGAGTTACCTGGAGTTACTTCTAGTGAGAAGTCATGACCAGTGAGGTCCAACCAGTCAAGTGTGAGGATGGATGTCCCACCGATGACATTGGTTGGTGGTCGCGCTGAATTTCAGGAAATGGTAGAAGTTAGAATTAATGGGTTGGCCATTGAGGAGTCAGGTCGCAGTGGCTGAGTGGCCTACGAGCTAGCTTGCCTTGTTGAAACTATGGCAGTGGGTGCGTATTGCTGATAATTCTCAAAAAACTAGGATGAAGCAGCTGTTCAGTATCCTTTCGCTATTCTCAGAAGCGACATGAGCTCCTTCAAGGTTACAGATACGTCCTGCTGACTTGTGAGTGCCAACTAGCACGAAACTTAAATGGTGTCCGATTCTTCCTGTGGCTGATTGCCTCCAACCATCTAATACTACTAGGAATCTTTTGTTCAATAAATATGTGGCAGGAAATGGAGATGGACTGGGCATGCTTCACTTAGGAAGCCGTCGAATGACATCGCGCTCTATGCAGACCATCGCTCAAGTACAGCCTGAATAGGAAGCGAGCGACGAGTGCGGTGTGAGTGCGAGAGTGACATGGAGCAGATCATGTGTTGTGGAGGAGAGAATGAGAGACTATCACCAATCTCGGGCCCAAACAGCTGAAGAGGAGATCAGAAAATAGAACAAAGTGTAGAAGCATTGTTGAAGCCGTATGTTCCATTCGGAACCTGAGGGAATAATAATAATAGTATGTGATTTCAACTCATAAGTCATACAATTTAGTATACTCCCCAATTGTGTAATAATTATTATCATAAATTTTCATCATTTCAGGTTAATTTTAGTAAAAATCGTCTAGTCAGTATAATACCATTTGATTGGAATCGTGTAACTTTATGTCCAGTACGTGGAGTAGATGGATCTGATTATATAAATGCCAGTTTGATTGATGGTTATCTAAAGAAAAATGCTTATATCGCTTGTCAAGGACCAATGGTATCAACTGTAGAAGATTTTTGGCGTATGCTTTGGGAAAAACACAGTTGCTTAATTGTCATGTTATGCTCAATTAAAGAGAGTGGGAAAGTGAGTGATGGTTTCTTTTTTTTTAGTTTTTTTTTGGTAAAAAGATTTTCGCTCGATGAAGTTGATACTTTTTTAAAGTTTCAGTTATAGAACCATTTCCAAACCACCACTGGAGTACTAGATAGCTAGCTGTCTCGTCACTTTAGTTCGGGACTCCTCAGCAGCACGCACCCAACTGTCAGGGTTCGAACCCAGGACCTTCTGGTTACACGGTGAGCTAGGTAGTAGACCCTTAAACCACTGGAACCCATCAATCCAATGGCCAGTCCATGAATGCCAAATTTTGTCATTTAGAAGATATGAGTTACAAGTGTTTTAATTATTGGAACGCTGATGTTTCTGATCTCTCCGTAAATATATTTACGTCATTAAAGAAAGAATGGTTACTGAACAAAGAATATTCTTTTCAATAACCTGCTCTTCATCATCAGCTTCTACAGTTATATGCATCCATAATAGTGAATGAATTAGTGTTATTACCAATAACATTAATGTTGTTTAAATAACATCGAATCAATAATAATAATATCATTGGATTACAGCCCGATAGCATCGACATAACAATACACTGAATTTCAGAAAAATTAGGAAAGATAATAATACAAATTCATGAATTTATAGTCTCTACTGAAGGCCGATCAGCGAACTAGCAGTGGCTGGACTTTCTTCTTTTACACACAAAGCACTGGTTGTTTCACGCGAATTGCGATAGCCTCTGCTGTTTGGAGCATGCAGTACCTCGATGTTTTTGGCAATTTATTTGGTACCCGGTAGATGATAGAGAAGGATTCTTCAACATTGGCTTTGCGGCCGGTTTGGACCAGGTGTTCTAATATGTAGCTATTGATGCTTCTCACTACACCTTTACTAAGCCATACTTGGAGATGTTCCCGAGAGAACACGAAAAATCAAGTTCCTAGAGGAACAGCCAGTAGAACTCGCTACACCACAAGCTCACTTCAATTGGTAGGTACAATTAGAAGTGGCTAGCTAATCTAGGTACTTCATCTTTCAATCGAGGAATCACCATCGGTAGTGTAGAAAAAAAGACGTGTAGTTTGCCAGCACTAAAAGTTCTTTGAACGGATTCTATTAACTTCTTCATAATTATTTCGCTAGGTATATCACCCTTGAATTGCAGTAGCATATAAGTAGGCTTCTTGTTTGCAGGTAGTGAACAGTCCTTTCCAAATTTCTTAGTCATATATTTCCTGATGAGTTTGTCTGGATAGCTATTTTCAATCAATCAAGGTATCATATACAATCCTTAGTTCATCTTCAGTTACTTCTTCTGAGCATATGGCTGTAACACTGTGGCAGAGGGTCTTTACTAAATTTCTTTTGTACTTGAGAGGAACGAAGCTGTGAAAATGTGTATATTGTCCTATCCATGTACTTTTTCTATGCAAATTTCTCTTTATGCTACCATCTGGTTTTCTTGTAAGGAAGACATCCAGGAAGGTAATTCTGTCTTGGGATTCCTCTTCGCATGTGAATTTCCTAGCCGAATAGACTTCATTGAATTCAGTAATTATTTTACTCCTATCCGAATCATTTTCACTAAGAGTAAAGGTATCATCCATATACCGGCAGTAAAATGAGAATTTCCTGAGAAGATTGTTCAAAAGTCCATCTTCTAGTTTACTTAGAAAGAAATCTGCCAAAATGGGACCCACTGAGGAGCCTATCGCCAACCCATCCACTTGTCTGTAAAGTGTAACGTCAAATTTGAAATTTACATTCATCGTACACCCTAATAACAATTCTTTCAAGATTTTTTTGGGGATGCCAGTATTTATCAACTGGTTTTACACTTGTTTACATATGTAGTTAACTGTTTCTAATAGAGGTACATTTGTGAATGAAGGTGTTATGTCCAAAGATATAGTTCTATCCTTGATATAAATATTTTTGGCTTTGTCCACGAATTCAAAGACATCTTTAACGTTATGTTTCACTATCTATCTGTTCATGCAAATGTTTGAGAATATTTACTAACCATCAGTCTAGAGCAGGGTAGAATGAATTTTTCATATCAAGTATTATTCTTAACGGTACCCCCGGCTTATGCACTTTAGGTTGAGCCATACAATCTTCACGTGTACTGAAATTCCAGTAAACTGTGTAGGTTGCAAATGGCTAATTAATCTACAAATTGCTACTTGGGCGGGTGTGTGAAAGCAAAAGATTATTATGCAGCGTGTTGTGTGTGAGGACAAATACTCGCCAAAGTCAGTGGCTAGCGGTCGTGCCATGTCGTAGATTAGCAAAAGTTGGAACTCATGGGCCATTGGATCGGGTCCCAGTGGCTTAATGGTCTACGAGCTAACTCACCTTGTAACCAGAAGGTCCTGGGTTCGAACTCTGGCGGTGGATGTGCGCCACCAAAGAGTCCCAAACTAAGCTGATGAAGCAGCTGTCCAGTACTCGAGTGGTGGTTTCTCAATGGTTCTTTAACCGATATCAGCTCACAATGAGATCCTGTAACCAATCCATCAAATCCCTGCAAACAAATACTTGAAGGTTCTGCAATCAGTGGAGACAAAGAGAGAATAGACGTTGACTCACCATGGCAAATAAAGACTAATAGGTGAATCTTCATGAATACATAAGTCAGTTTTTAAACCTTTAATAGCGAGCTATTGCTTCGGCAAAATTGAGAAGAGTTAAGTTGTACTGTCTGTTGATAATCTTGAAGGATTTCACGTTGTTATCAACAGGATATCTGGCAATAGCACTGTTCAAAGGATTCGATCCCTTGAGACGTACACTTTTTGGTGCATATCCAGAGAATCTGTGATATGCCCTTCTTTCTGTTCTCTCAAAGTTGTAACTGCTCCCGCAGGTGCATGTAAATTTGTATACACAATTGGAGTTAACCCAGGTAGAGTATCTATCCATCAACCTTTGATTGTGATTGCTTGCTCTATTAACATTGAATGGTATCGAGCAGACCACATATCGTGATGATCTCTATAATTCTGCTTTGCAAATGAAACTATAGTAAAATCTCTCCTCCTCAAACTGCATACATTTCAAAGTGCGCACATAAACTGCTCCAATGTGCTTGGCGAAACAACGTTTACTATCAGTATTGCCAACTTCCAAACTAGTAGCATTTGTAAAAATATTCACAGAGGATTTGGGAGCTCATTACCAGGATAGAGGTTGTTTGGTGTTCTCCTAACTCTGTGGTGTTACAGCTGAAGGCATCTTCAAGCCTGGTGATTGAACAGCCATAATGAAATATCTAAGCTGGCGTAGTTAAATTTTAAACACCACTAATTACCAATGGAATACGACGACCCCATTGACCTTGAATAGTCCAGTGAGTTTTATTCAGGTCAGTTGAAGCGTCTATTCCGCTTGATTCGAGTCAAACGTCTGCTCTAACGCGGTTACGTTTGCAGTTTTCTGAGGAAAAGGTTTTCCAGTATTGCCTAGATGTGGAGTTGATTAGGAAAGAAAGAATTTTTTTCGTCTGGATGTGTCATGAGTATTAAAAGCTTCAGCTGGTCTGTTGATGGACATGTGCGTCACTGTGCAATTTGTTTCAGACGAGTTAGTATCAGGGAAGGTAAGTTGATGATTCTAATATTTCGTAGGAACATTTTTTGCCAGATCCCGTCTTCCGTTAACCCAGATTTTGTATATTTGTAAACAGCCTGTGAGAGGTGCAACTGCTGAAACTGAAAATAGTCTCGTATCAGTAGTTCAGTGGTACCAGCACTGCAGGGATATCGCATCCTGGAAAATGGAGAGGTTAACTTCCTTATTGGGAGGAGAAGGTGTAGTCGTATATGTTAATGAAACTGTCTTAATAATGAAAAAATGCAACCGTGGTTAAGAACGGGAGCATAATGTTTGAACAATCGTTTTATTTGAAAGGATTCGTCGAAAGGATAGCAGATAAAAAGTCAGGTACTTTAATACCTATTATTACTCAACTGGCATGAAACAAGGATCTATAATACACACAGATAAGTAGAAAGGTTATAACTCCTTGTCATCCCTTCCAAATATATGTTCACCACAGAGTCAACCATCCTAATCATTTTGTGGATCCTGTTACAGGGACCCACACCGGTTCTATCGAAGGCTTTTGTGGAAGGTTAAATAACAGGATTAGAGCCATTAACGGATCACAAAGCGATGTCATTTCTAGTTATTCAGATGAACATATGTACAGGATGTGATGTAACGTTTCAATGGATCCTCCTATGTTAAACTGAGAGATGTTTTTTGTCACATGTGAGAGAAAGGTATCCCATGTAACACTTTTATACGGTTTTATGCACTTTTCTCCCACAAATATATGTGGATATCATATCCAAAAATGCCTCCTTCATGTGACTGGTGCGCTCAAGGTGATTCTCTGATTGATGGTCGTCAGTGGTGTTTGAAGTTTAACTTTGCCTCTAAGCTTGTAGAACAGCAAAACAATTTTTCTAAGATTTTATAACGTCATATAAACTTTACTGTGATTTCAAGAGGAATTCGATTCCAACATTGAACTAGAAATCAGGGGTAGATAAAATTATCACCGTTACTTCCACCACGGACCACTTTTTGCTACGACAACCATTGAGTTTAGTCTAAATGGAACAGTCAAGAAGCGTTTGTATTACTCAGAATTTAACTCTGTTTTCCTTAAAAAACACCTGATACTGGGAAATATCAAAAAATAAACCATGAATTGACGACTATAGATACCTCCATTCCATCATCTCAACTGTGAAATAAATAGAATTTAGACAATAAATACTGATTATCAGATAAGAAAGATAAATCCACTTACAGTACAAAGATTATTAACTAACTGAAGTAGCTAAAGTATGTGTCATACATCCTGATTCCCCCCTCCTCCTTTCTTCTTTTTCTTAGACAAGCGTTGTTTGCTGAAGTACTTACTTTACTTTACTTCGGCTATCTCCTACGGTAGGATGAGCCGGCTTCATGAACATCTCGAATGATCGCTGCCCAAGCGCGGCAATCTGATG